GTAAAACCAATCTACCTAAACCCTAAACCCTAAACCCTAAACCCTAAACCCTAAACCCAAAACCCTAAACCCAAAACCCTAAACCCTAAACCCTAAACCCTGAACCGGCTCGTGGTCTCCAGCCCATGGTAGATGTGCAGGCCACTCTGGTTCAAGCCCCAAAACAGGATAACCCAGAGACTCCAAAACCCCTTAATTAAGGTTTTAGGGTTTAGGGTTTAGGGTATAGGGTTTAGGGTTTACCTTAAATTATAATAGGATTCCTAATGTGATTTAAGGTATATTCCTTCATTAAAGGGTTTTGGAGTCTCTGGGAACCACACATAAAGCGGGAATCCGGAAACCCACATACACCTCATCCGGTAAGATAATATATGGGCCTTAATAATTAGAATAGGGTTTTGGGGCCCATTCTACTATAATCACAATAAGGAACCACCGAAAATAATCTTGGCAATTATTTAGGCTCCTATATTACTGCCGCATGCAGATTCGCCAGTAATTCAGGATTCAAAGTTACGGGTTGGTGGGGTTTAGGGTTTAGGGTATAGAATTAGGCATGCTTCGCATAATGGCTGTAGAATCTCCACACTCCGTCGTCCCGAGAATCCTCATGCCGCCCATGTGTCGAACAGCCTTCGCTACACCTTGCATGCAAGAGTCGAGGATTAAGTCTAAAACCTCAGTAAACCCTAAACTCTATACTTAACCCTAAGCTCTATACCGCACATATCTAAAGATGCTTGACCAAGTTTCTCTCACTCTACGCTCCGAAAACCAAACAGCTCGCTTGAAAGCTCAAACCCTAACCCAGATAAGCATCCGGGTTTAAGGACATAGGGATTCGGGGCTTGACTGCTCAAACCTTAACCCCAAATAAATGGGCATCCGAGTCTCTGTCAAGGCGGATAGCACGTTGCGGCCCGCGCAACACAGACCTAAGATCAGCTAAACCCTAAACTCTAAACCGAAACCCATACCCTAAACCCCGCACCCTAAACCCTAAAATTAAAACCCTAAACCCTAAAGCCCTAAACCCTAAACCCCAGACTTAGATCCTAAACCCATGCCCTCTTGCTCCTCCTGTCTTGTCGTTTGAGGACGGCTCTGCTCGGAAAGAGTTAAGGCTTATAACCGACGTACAGTATGAAGGATCAATAATCGTAGAAGGATTCGGAAAGGAAATATGACGCCTGAATTATTACCAAGATTTTTCCTACTAAAGGGGTCCTCAGTAAACGCAAGCTAACATATACCGTGCACCGACAGCCTATTCCAATTATTCACGCGTGTATAGAACCCGTATATACCGAACTTTAATAACACTTTGAGCGAAGCCTCAACTCTTATCTTCTGGGGAGGTGTAGAGGTTTCGGGTGTGAGGTTTCAGGTCTAGCGTCTAGGGTTTGGGGTGCACGGTTCAGGGGTGTCGCTAGCGTGCTTGGCAGGGCCTATGTTATGAGGCTTGGCATCGAATTACCCTAAACCCTAAACCCCAAACCCTAAACCCCAACAAGCTCTAAACCCTAAACCCCGACAAACCCTGAACCCTCACAAACCCCAAACCCTAAACCCCAACAAACTCTAAACCCTAAACCCCCACAAACCCTGAACCCTCACAAACCCCAAACCCTAAACCCTAACAAACTCTAAACCCTAAACCCCGACAAACCCTGAACCCTCACAAACCCTAAACCCTAAACCCAAACAAACTCTAAAGACTAAACCTCGACAAACCCTGAACCCTCACAAACCCTAAACCCTAAACCCCAACAAACCCTAAACCCTAAACCCCGACAAACCCTGAACCCTCACAAACCCTAAACCCTAAACCCCAAACAAACCCTAAACCCTGACAAACCCTGAACCGTTGCCAAATGGGATCTTCCGCAAATTAGGGTACCTTATTTTGGGGTCCTTATAATAAGGATCCTATTATTTAGAGTACTATCTTAGGGTCCCCTAATTTCGGAAACCCCCATTTTGCCAAATGGGTGGTTGTCAAAATCATGGTCCCTTTTTGGGTCCTTATTATAATACGGCACCTAGTACTTAGGGTACCCCAAAAGGGACCATAATTTTGACAACTACCCAAAAGGCAATCGATCCCCCGGGCTCCAGCCACCTGAAAAAAATGATTCTGTAAGCCCTACAACCTCGAATCCTTCAGGGTATTTTTTGGGTTAAGGGTTTAAGGTTTAGGGTTTAGGGGTTTAGGGTTTAGGGTTTAGGGTTTAGGGTTTAGGGTTTCGGGTTCAGGGTATCCTAATATTCTCAGAGCATGAGGCTGTAGCTGGGGAATCCTGAAGAGGCTGTTGAGCCGAGACTTTTCACGCTGCTATTTTTGAATGGCTAGGTGACTAGAATAGTGTCTTGGGTATACTATAGTATACTTGTACCGGGACTACTGCGAATGGCCGGAATATAGAAGAACTTAATTGGAGCTAATCGACCTAAACACGGATGTGACATGAATAAAGATATATATATATATATGTCGAGCACACGGTATTGTGTTTTATGGCACCAGCACCCTCAAACCTTGAAGCCCCAAACCTGAAGATTGCCTAAACCCAGACCCGAAAGATAGCCGCCGCCCCCCGCCACCCACCCCTCCCCCTCCACCGGGCAAGAAACATGAACCCTAAACCCTAAACTCCACCGGAAAAGAACATTGATCCCATCACTAGATAGGTTAAGATAGGGCCTCAAACCCCTGAACCTTGAAATTCTCTGTCAAACTATGCATCTTTAGCATCGTACAGGTTCCCTAATATGGAATTTATGAGGACCCTACCAAAAAACAGGTTCTGGTAGCTGAAGGCTTAAGGCAGAGTTTAGGATTTAGGATTATTTGCGGGATTATAGGCCGATTGCTGCCTTGGAGCATAGGCTTTGGCAGCTGGCGCGAAAAGTTTGTCAGCAGGTAGTTCAGGGCCTGAAATCATGGGGGCCTAGCGACCCATCTATGTATGCACACACACACACACACTCTCTCTTTCTTTCTGTAAACAGATGCATGTACACATATATATATATATATACATATATATATATATACATATATGCATATAAACATGTGTATATATATATATATGTATATAAAGGTGTGTATGTATATATACACATTACATGCGCGAATACCTTTCTATAGATAGTTATAGTGTGCGTGTGTGTGTGTGTGTATGTGGGCGCGCGCGCGCGTGTGCGTGCGCCCTCTTGTCGTTTTTGGGTGGGGTGCTGTACAAACAAAATGTGCCGGGGGTAGGAGCTTTCCATGTGAGGCAATGCGATCTGCAGAGCCCAGGCATCATAATAGGCTCACTAATTTGGCTTAAGGTCTGCACCTCTTGAGTAACGCAGGGAATAATATTGTGGTTTGGTGTGTGTATATATATATATACATTCACTCCATATATATACATACATATTTACATGTATATGTGTACATACATATCACTCTCTCTCTCTCTCATATTTCCTGCAGGGCCTTCTATTCACGTTTAGGGTATATATTGCTTGAACCTAAGGTGGTTCCAGAATTATGGCCTGGTTGAAGGTATATGCCCCAACAAGTTAAAGGTTACCTACTCTACCCCTAAACCCTAAACCCTAAACCCCCAAACCCTAAACCCTAAACCCTAAACCCCTAAACCCCTAAACCCCTAGACCCGTCGTATTGGGTTCTCTGGGAACTTTGCGTCCAGCTCTGGGGGTTGAGGGTCTGTCACGGTTTAGGGTTTAGGGTTTAGGGTTTAGGGTTTAGGGTTTAGTGTGGAGCTCGCAACAAATGACCGGCAAAATTGAGCACCCAAAACCCTAAACCTTAAATCCCTAAAGCTCCAAACCCCAATCCCCCAAAAAACTCATACCCTAAACCCTATACGCGTAACAGGATCAAAAATTATTGCCAAAGCCCCAAAGCCTAAACCCCAAACTGCAACCCTGGAACCTAGCCGAGCCCCAGCTTGAATTCTAAAAGGCGGAACCTTCGGGAAAAGTTAACTAGTGGTTGTCTATAGCGAAAACCTCTGTGTGTGCCCCCTACTTCCTCCTTGTTAGTCCTCTGGAACTTGCTTGCTCTTATTTTCGCTTTTGTTCTTTTCACGACGAAAGTTAGCTGATTAGCGCTCTACCCGGCCGTGGAGATAAGAGCAGAAAGCTTGCGGCAATCTCTGCCACGACATAACATGATACACAACCAGAACAACACACACACACACACACCCTGAAGCCCGAAAGCCCCGAAGCCCAACCATATCCCAACCCCGGAAACCCGACCGCCTGTGCTCCAAATCTTGACCCTTGCGCTTTGAACCGTTGACCACATCCTCAGCAGATCCTTAAAAAATCGCGAACCCAACAGCCTGAACCCTAAACCCTAAACCCTAAACCCTAAACCCTAAACCCTAAACCCTAAACCCTAAACCCTAAACCCTAAACCCAACTCTAAAACTCCTTTAAACGAAAACCTTTAACCCCATAAGGCCCCCAGCCAAAGCTCTCTAAATCCTACATCTTTATGTCACACAATACGACGGAGACCTTACAAACACCTGAAAACCCTGGGTTTAGGGTTTAGGGTTTAGGGTTTAGGGTCTGGAAAAAAACCCAAAACCCTAACGACTTTAACTTGCAAGCAGTGGGCGGACTGGGAGGAGCAGCAGTTCATCAGCAAGAGCATGACCAGGCCCTAAGTGGGAGTTAGGATTATGGAGATTCTAGGGATATAGATCTCTTTCAAAAGAGCCATAAGTAGGGTTAAAAAGGGTCCCCTTCTAAGGGTCTGCCTAATGCTACCTGGGACCAAGGTTTAGGGTTTGGTCTTTAGTGGTTTAGGTCTGAAGGCGGAGCACAGGATTCTAGGTTTAGTGTTTAGGGTTTAGGGTTTAGGGTTTAGGTTTAAGGTTTATAAGGGTTCTGGGGTCTAGGTCACTGCTTCATGCTGAGGGCTCAAGTCAAGGGTGTAGGAACAGTCTAAAGATCGAGTTTAGAAGTGCCTGGCGATAGCACAATCGATGCCACTACATGGCTGAATTGCAAAATTACCTGCCACACGTGCATTTTACGGCTTTTTGTTTCGGGTTTAGGAGGCGAGGGTTAAACCGCTAAGATTCACATTTGTATGGTGGAAGACAGTCTATGCACGCTGTTGCCAAATTTTTCTTCAGGATAGCATTCGCCAAGAACGGGCTTGGAGGCATATAACGAGTCGTAAGAAATGATGTAGTTGGAAAACCCAGTTCCAACAATGCTTTCACCATGCCCATGCCGTAGTTGCCAAAAGCTGCAACAGGCTGAGATCTCTTGGAAAGGAGCACATCAATCATCTTTTGCGGTAAGGACCAGATAGTGCACAGCAGTTTCAAAATGGCCTGTTGCAGACTTGCACAATGGGACAGCTCTGCAGTCCCAACCGAGGCAGCTCGCTGGGGCGATCGGTGGAAGCCATGCTTAATTTCCACGTCAGCTGCCCGCTTGTGGCCACAGAAGCAGAATATGTGATGGCTTTGAGGTGGGAAGACTCGGGTTTTAGTGTTTAGGGTTTCGGGTTTAGGGTTCAGAGCCTATGCCCTGAACCCTAAACCCCTGTTGAGGATGTCGGTTTGAATCACGGTTGAGTCTCTGGCCAGACACCACATAGTTCAACAAAAACTACTTGCTTGCATCTATTTCGGTGCCTTGGGTGCCGACGCTAAGCCCCGAATAAGAAACCCTGCAACACTCAACCTCTAAAGAGGAACTTCCCGAGTGGGCACTTCCGGCACTTAACGGCGAGTCGCAGGGGTCCTGGCGGGCAAGTTTCGACTGGCAGTGGATGAACGACCGGGCAACTTACCTGTTCCCTAACGAGATAGACAGGCAAGAAAGTCATGCGTCCGTAGGCTTTACACTTGCCGCGAAGGCCGCTGCGTCACGCGCTCTGTCGTAAGTTGCGACGGCGTTGGCCGCGTTGCCAGGAAACCGAACTTATACAGAATCCCGACTAAACCCAGGTGATAAACTACCCGAAGCTAACCCCAAACCCTAAACCCCTGAACCCTAAACTAACCCTTTCCCCTGACCCCTGAACTCTCAAACCCGAACCCCCCCAGCTTTAAGCCCGCCACTCCCGGCCCAAACCCCCTACACTCCCCATGACATCAACCCTGAACACCTAAACTCCCTAAGCACCACACCCCTAAATTCCGAAGCCCTCATAAGAGAACCCGTAGACAGCCCTAAACCCTAAACCCTAAACCCTAAACCCTAAACCCTAAACCCTAAACCCTAAACCCTAAACCCTAAACCCTAAACCTTCCAAAACACCCCCAAACTCCTCACGCCTACACTTCTACATCGAAGAAAAACCCTAAACGCCAAATTTAAACTCCTAATCATCCCTTAACCATCAACTCCCAGAGCTTGAACCTAGAAGCCCCAAAATTCAGCCCAAACTTCGGCTGAACTGGACCTCAAACCCTAAACCTCAAATCCCGACTCCCTAAATATCCCTAACCCCTAAACCCGAAACCCAACCTAGGTTGGCTCTTTTTGAGGCCCCGGCGATGACGGAAGTGGAGGCTAGCCTCAGCTTCGACTTGCATATGGGCTTCTTGTGAAGTGGTTTAGGGTTTCCTAAGGCTTCATAGGGTCTTGCATATGTTTGCTCGATGTAGGGTACATAGGGTCTATAAAGTTTCATAAGGGTTCATTAGGTTCCCGTTCAACTCCTCAAGAATTAGGGTACCTCTTTTCCTTGTGTCCACGTTTATCTTCCGCACGAAACCGCAAAACCGGGTGTGAGGTTACCACAAGAACTTACACAGTTCTTTTGGATTATAATCGTTGAATGAGATCTTACACAAGGGGTTGACAAACAAAACATGTATAAGGGCTTTATACTGATGTAGACGGTTTCAAAACGCTAGTTATACGAGCTTGTTGTGTTCCGATTTAGGGATTGGCACTTGGGGCTGTCCAGGGTATAGAGTTCAGGGTTTGAGGTTAGACCAAGCCTACCTGCACCCTAGAGAACCTGCCTTTTGCAGGGCTCCGTATTCTGAAAAAGTAAGTTCTGGCGGGTTAGGATAAGCTCTAACCCTGGACCCTAAATAAGCTACCTCTTTCATAAGGAAAACATAACAAGTAACGCTAAAAAGGTAGGTCCTTTAGGACTAAGGCAAGCGCTGGACCCGGAAACCTAAGCCCCAATCCGGAACATGAGCTCTAAGGGTTTAGGGTTTAGGGCTTTTGGGGTTTAGGCTTTCAGGGTGTAGGCTAAACCCTAAACCCTACACCCTATACCCTGAACCGTAGGGTGTTAAGGTTTGGCTAAATGGCTGGACACGCCATCCTGCCGGCCTGCTCCCATAAATGTAAACACTGACCTGAAGCTAGCAGAACCGACTTTCTTGTAGGTTCTTACTACACAAGCACTACCTTGCCCCTGAAGAACCTACCTCCGTAGGGCTCCCTATTATGATTTCCTTATATAAGTTTCAGGGTCCAGGTAATGCCGAACTTATGTGGCCATCACGAACAAAACATGGGTTTCTAGGTTCCCCCAGTGTCCCCTGGTATAAAGGCTACGCCCTTTCCGTTGAATCATAAGGTAAGCCTAGAACAAAAAGGCCAAAGGCGCACCACTGGGGAGTCCAGGTTTTGGTATGTCAATGTAGTGCTAGGGTTTAGGGTTTAGGGTTTAGGGTTTAGGGTTTAGGGTTTAGGGTTTAGGGCTTAGGGTGTAGTATGGAGCCCCCAAAAAGCTCATAAGCAAAGCTTAGGATAGGGATATCCCATATAAATCCCCATATAATGAAGCCCAATAAGGTAGGGTATCCCTATAAAATGCTTATGTTTATGCCTTTTTTGGGTCCCTAATGTTAATGTAGATCCAAAACGGTTTTTGGTTTAGGGTTTAGGGTGTACTCGGGTCCTGACATCCCAAAGCCTAAAACGGCTTGGGGTTCAGGGTTTTGGGTTTTTGGGTTTGGGGTTTGGGGTTATGGGGTTTAGGGCTTGGAGATCAGGGTTCAGGGTTGAGGGTGAAAGCATCCAACAAAACATTGTGAACAGGTTTAGGGTTTAGGGTTTAGGGTTTAGACTCATACTTAATAAGGGTGCATCTGTAACTTACGGCGCGGAATGCAGAGTGTACGCTAAATTTAAATTTAGTCACTAGGTAATACTCAGTTAGTTCGTCTATTACAAGCATCCTTCAAGAATTTCGCGTATATATTCTTCAATGAAAGGGGCTTGGACCATAAACCCAAAGCACCACCCTTTGAAGCCCAAACCCTCAACCCCGAAGCTACAAGCTCACCAACCAGGTCCGCATGCACGTCCTCTGCGAGCCCGAGATGCCCGAAGAGCACCCAAAACTTCCTGCAAGAGCATATACATGTTTCATGCGGCCTTTGTGGGATTTTCTCGTGTTCTGTAGGATTTTCTGCATGAGGTGTCCGTTGGATGCTTGCTATCTAAGGTTGTGGGGGGGGGGGGGCTGGGATTTACAGAGGGCTCCAAGGGTGCGAACAAGATGGGGAAATCCCAACCGGGAGTCCTTCACATAATGATCTGGGCCCATAAACACGACCATTACATGGAATTAGGCCCAAAAGATCATCCTTCTTATGGGTTTATGGCTTGCGGGACCTAACTCCATAATGGTAGTATATGTTGACCCTTAGGGCAAGGGATCCTGACTCCTACCCTAAACCATAAACCCCCAACCCTACACCGCAACTCCTAAACCCTAAACCCCAAACCCCTAAACCCACCTACCTTTGGATGCCGCCGACTGCGAGGCTTCAAGGCCATGGCATTTTCGAGTTGAGTACGTCAAGGTAAGGTATGGGCAACAGTAATTAGAATAGGGTTTTGGAATCCTTTATAGTATAGTTCTAATAAGGAACCCAAGAGGAACAACAATGGTAATTATTCCGGCCTCTACAGTATAAGGGTTTCTGGGGTTGCAGGTTTTACGGTGATCGGGGGGTTCGGGTGGAATGGGTGAAACCTTATGAACCCTAAACCTTAACATTTTTTTGGGTTTTGCGTCGTTAAAGGACTCCGAGGCCCAAGGAGGAAACTGTCTGGCAGGAAGCTGCCTGGGCTTTGGGGTTTAAAGTTTCGGGAATTGGGGGCTAGGGTTCAGGGTGTTGGGGTTTAAAGTCTAGGGCTCTAAACCCTAAGCCCTAAACTGTAGGGCTCTGGGTTTGGCCTTCAAAGTTGTGGGGTTAGGGTATGTCCTACTGTCCTACACCCAAAACCAACACCCTGCGGCCGAAAATGCGGGAGCCCTCGGCTGAACAGAATGAGATACCCTAAACCCTAAACCCTGGGTTTAGGGTTTAGGGTTTAGGGTTTAGGGTTTGGGGTTTAGGGTTTAGGGTTTAGGGTTTAGGGCCCTAAACCCTAAACCCTAAGCAGGTGGCTCCACAAACCCCGCAGTCTCCTTTTTAAGGGTAATGTATGGGGCCTTAATAATTCTCTTGATGATATAGACCCTGCATTACCGTAAGAACCCAAAACTAAACCTAAACCCTAAACCCTAAACGCTAAACCGTACTAAACTAGGGCCATGGGTATTAAGGTATATTCCTTATTATGGGAAATGCAGGATTCATAATTTATATCATCAACCGTTAGAATAGGATTTTGGGCTCCTTTTTATGGTATAATCATTAATAGGGAACCCCAAAATCAAAAGGACAACATTGGTAAGCTTCTGTATTGAATCTACAGGAGATCATCTTGGGTCGTATACTGTAGAAGCCCAGCCTGAATAATGATTTAGGCCTACTACAGCATGAGGGCCAAGATCATCTGATGTAGATTTGATATGGAAGCCTGAACAACTACGACTGCGTTCCTTATTGTAACTTTACAATCGTTAGCCTTGGGTACTGCCCCGCCCCATACCGTCTAATATGATGAGACTACTAAGGGCCGTATGTATCTATAGGAGAAATAACCTGCAGTATCCGAAGTATGCCCTAAAACCTTATTCTGATTACTAAGTTTTGAGGCTTCTATATTAATGTACACGGTTCCTATGATTATGATAAGCCAGAGCTGTGGAGACGAATCTCCAGTATACAACACCAACTCCCCAAACCTTGTGAGGCCTTCTAAAATCCTACAGCTCTCAATGTTTCAAGCCTTATAAGTCCTCAAGCTCTGCAGTCTTTGAAACTTAAAGCTTTGTGAACTCTGGACAACCTTATGCTTGCGACCACATGAATTCCCAAACCAAGGCTCCTGAAGTAGGACTGAGTGAGAAGGAGCTGCGCAACTATCAACCTCGTTGAGTGGGTTGCTAGGGTGTCTCTGTGTGTCTGTGAGAGCGGGTGTTTGTCTGTGTGTGTGTGTGTGTGTGTGTGTGCGTGTGTGTGTCTGTGTGTGTGTGTGTGTGTGTGTGTCTGTGTGTGTGTGTGTTAGTGGTCGGACAAAGGCGGTTTAGAGGGTCGTAGGACAGCATCGGACACAGACAGACGGCGCAGTCAAGGCTTGGAACATTAAGGTTTACCGCGGTTCAGGGCTTTGAGTTTCCTTGTGGGATGTGCAATAAAGCCATGTGTCGTGTGACACTACCTGCAGGCCGGAATCACAGCATGCCTTCCTAGCAGATCCCAAATTGTAGCCCTAATGTAGAAGCCTTCATAATTAGACTAGGGCTTTGGGGTATATTATACAATAACTAGAATAAGGAACCCCCCAAAATAGTATTGGTAATTATATCGGCTCCTATAGTACTCTCTCAGTCCCGAGAGCCTTCAGGCACGGGTTAGGGTTTAGGGTTTAGGGTTTAGGGTTTAGGGTTTAGGGTTTAGGGTAGAAGCCCCCAAAGTAAGAAACCCAATAGCCTCAATCCTTAAGAGTACTGTATAGGGATTCCCAGCACTGATTGTCCTTAATCCGGTTCCCAACCTTTTCGGATGTACTATCGGGGGCGTATAGGTTCGACTTTAAAACTCCCATAGCCTACTTTTTTGGTAGGTTCTCATTATAAACCGTAACATAGAATTTATAGGGACTCAACTCAAACACAGCAGGTTCTGGTAGGTTGAGGTCGGGTCTGGGCTTCAGGGAATGGGTTTTAGGGTTATGGGTGTACATAGTGCATTCGGAGGTTCAAGACTTGGGGACCAATGTAGCACGGGGGCTCTTGTTTGGGGGCTAAGTTTGGGGTTAGGTGTTTGGGTGTAGGGTTCAAGCTGGCACCTCGAACCCTCTGAACGCCAAGTCTTAGAGTCTTAGAGAGCCCAAAACCATGTCAACCAGGCCCACTTCTTAATTTAACTCGTGGCTCCTAAACCTCAACGCTACAAGCCTCAACACTTTGAGGTATGTTATAGCCAAACTATACAATGGATCCTCAATGAATGGTGTTATTCTTATTATTGTTATCGTTTTTATTTTGGACAGCTGTTAACGTTTAGGCGGGCTTCATATTTACAGAAGTTGCTCTGAAACCGCTTTGCTTGGTTGGTGCCTAGGGCTTGAGCTACAAGGAAGCTATAAGGATGCTTTGGGATAAGTTTGAGGGGCTGGTAAGGGGTTGCTATAAGGGTTTGCTACGAGCTACACCCTAAATCTTAAATCCCTAAATGCTAAACCCTAAACCCCTAAACCCTAAACTCCTAAACCCCATCTTAGATTCGGGTTTAGGGTTCGCATGCAGCATTTGGGGTTGTCAAGATTTAGGGCTGGTTAATCATTAGAATCGGGTTTGGGGGCCCATGATACCATAAATATAATAAGAACCCCCACAATAGTTTTAGTGCGGCCGCTATATTGTATGGATTGAGGTGAACACCCCTACACCCTCAACACCCTTCGGTTCAGCGACAGAAATGGCACCGACAGCGCATTGGGCACATATCTGCCTGAGAGAAGCCTGGGAAAGCCAGCAACGAGTCCCATGTTTGTGGTTTTAATCAGGGTTTTCGGGATTCAGGATTTAGGGTTTGTGCTCTAGGGTTAGGGTTTAGGGTTCAGGGTTCAGGGTTCAGGGTTCAGGGTTTAGGGTTTAGGGTTTTCGGGTATTGGGGCTCGGTCTGTGGTCCCCAATCCAGGGTTATCACGCATGGGGCGATGAGGCAACAGCACAAAGCCAAATCCCGGGTCAAGGGTCTAGGGTGGTTTCCGCATGGCTCGTGATGATATTTAATAGACATGTGGCCCTTGACCCTCAAAACCCCTAACCCTTAAAACTTAACCCCTGAAATGCCAGCGCTTAGCCGTCGGGGGCTCGTGGTTTAGAGAGAACTTGAAGCCTAAGCGCTTGAACCCCAAAGCCTTCGCACTTGAGGATTCAGGTTTTTAGGGCTTTAGTAATTTGGCATTCAGCCTTTACAGCGCGTGCAACATGTTCTGACTGCCCAAACGGCAGCAGAATGAATATACGTGGAATGTATACGGATCTGTGATAACAAAACAGCTGTGATGAGGCGTCAGCATTGTGGTAATGCAGCGACAGCAGCAGCAACACCATCAGCAACATTCAGAAGAACAGCGATAGCGATAACCCTAAACCCTAAACCCTAAACCCCAAACCCTAAACCCCAAACCCCAAACCCCAAACCGTAACCCCAAACCCTAAACCATGACACGAATACGTGCAGTCCTTTATTAACCCTACCAGAGAGCAGCCGGTCCGTTCCTCCCAGATTACTTGTTCATGGCAATAAACATCAATCGTAAAGCTCTGAACTCTAGACTAAATCATACTAAATGACAACTACGGCTGATGGTATAAATCCTGTATTACCCGTGATAAGAGAAAATGCCATAATTCCAATAGTTTGGGGCCCTGAAGGTAATGCAGGATTTATATCATGAAGAGTATAGGATCCCCAGTAACCTAGGAATAAAATGACGTCCCGTTTTGGTATTGGGTAGTTTGCAGGGAGCCTAACGACCACGTAAAGGGAAAAAGGGCGCACTGGCAGACCTAGACAAGAACCCTAAAACCCTCGCATGAAGGGTCCATCTTATAAGATTTCCCTATCGAAATCCTTTTAAAAGGCAAGTTGTTGCGGGGTTCAGAAAACCCAAAACCAGCCCCAAACCCCTAAACCCCTTCGCCCTAAATCCAAAAAGCCCAAAGCCTCAAACCTCCAAAAACAACAAAATCCAAAACCTGAAAACCCTAAACTCCAAACCCCCAGACGGTTGGGGGTTTAGGGCTTACCTTAACCCCAAATAGCCTACCGTTTTACGGACTTACAAACAGAAATCATATTGAAGGAGCCCTAAAAAGGTAGGTTCTGCAGGGTCCAGGTAGGGCCCTAAACCCTAAACCCTAAACCCTAAACCCAAAACCCCAAGAAACCCAACCACCAAAGCCCACAACCCCGAGACTCCTCAACCCAAAACACTGCCCGAAAAATCCAAAAGCCCAAAGCCCAAAGTAGGGTTTAGGGTTTAGGGTTTAGGGTTTAGGGTTTAGGGTTTAGGGCCCAAGGGACTCAGTAGGTGAGGTTGTAAGTAGGGTAAGTAAGGTCACAATTCGGACAACCCCGAATAGGGGCACGTATAATTATAACCTCTACGTATCGAGTCCCATGGACGTTTAAGTAGTAGCTAAATCCCGAACACCATCCCAAATCCAAAAGCCTGCGCAAAGAATCATGGGGCTTTTAACTAAAGACTAAAGCTATGATCAGGGTGCCTATACTTGTCACCTCAATGAAGCTACTTTTTCTTCCTAGGAACGACGTCGCCTGATCCCTTATAGAGCCCTTATAGAACCCTTCTAGAAACCCCTAAACCTAAACCCCTAAACTCGAAACCCTAAACCCTTATAGAAACCCCTAGCCTTCCTAAGTCCCACGATCCTCTAAACCCGAAGCCCTAAACCCCTAAACCCTAAACCTCAAACCCTAAACCCTAAGCCCTAAACTCCTAAATGCTAAAACCCTAAACCCATTCAAACCCAAAATCCGGAACCCCTAATCCCCTGATGTAGGGGCCTTAAGAATTAGAATAGGGTTTTCGCGGCTCCTCATTATACTTATAGTATAATATACCCCAAACCCTATTCTAATTATTGGGCCCCTACACCCTAAACCCTAAACCCTAAACCCTAAACTCTAAACCCTAAACCCTAAACATATATTAAACCGACCAAGTGTCCAGAGCCATGGGCCCCGGAAGTTCACGAAGCCGCGGGAGGTGTCCAAGCGAGGGCCTTCTTTCAGGGTTTAGGGCTCAGGGTTTTAGGGTTTAGGGTTTAGGGTTTCAGGGGCTTTAGGGTTTAGGGCTTTTAGGGTTTAGTGTTTTAGGCTTAGGGTGGCGTGTCTTAGCTCACTTTTGTGGCTTTGGGTTTAATTTTTCTGCCGTGGTTGATGCTTTTTTGCAACCCCTGTGTTGCTTACTTCGGTCCTATACCCTAAACATCCCTAAGCCTACACTCTACGGATTTAGTCCTCCGCAGGTTGTGAGGGCATTGTTCACGTCAAAGGGTCATGGGACTCAGTAACTACGGTTTCAGTCGCGGTACATAAAGCTCATTCCAATTCTAAACGCGTATGATCCCACTTAAAAGGTACTTAGAACATATCCCTAAACCCTAAACCCTAAACCCTAAACCCTAAATCCTGCAAACCCTAAACCGTCTATACCCTTACTTTCAGGTCCTGTGGTCCTGTAAGTACGTGTCTCAGGGCTTGGTTTGGCGTGTTGGGGACCCGGGTCGAGGTTTCCAAGGTTTTTTCAGGCTTCGGTTTAGGGTTTAGGGTTTAGGGTTTAGGGTTTAGGGTTTAGGGTTTAGGGTTTAGGGTTTAGGGTTTAGGGTTTAGGAGGGTGTTGGGTTCTCTACTGTAGACGCCTTCATAATTAGAATAGGGTTTTGGGGGTATGTTATACCATAGTTACAACAAGGAGCCCCCAAAATACTATTTTTTCTGGGCGGATGATAGAGTCGACAGACGCATCCAAGATGCAAATGAATTCTGTGAAACATAGCTGTCCTAGGCAACGCGATGCGTCCAAAAACTGCATGTGCCGGCACGCGGAGGCTCAACAGAGCTCTTGGGCACCTCAGCTAGTACCCACGCGAGGATTTTCGGATCGGGGTCCGAACGACGCAGCAGTGTGATGGGCGCGTCATCACCGAGGTAAGTCAGGAGTTCCGCTCTAGTCGGCTGGAGTGGGCCGGGAGTTGGCAGGGCCGGAGGGGCTGTCTGGTATTTATGCCACTCACCATGGCGAACACGCTTAAGACGACCTTTGTCCTCCGCTTCTGCTTCCCGCACCTCCGCCAAGCTCATAGGGTCCAAGAGCTCGCAGGCTCTAGACAAGCACCCCTTTGAGGCCTTAAGGTGTCCTTGGAGTCTCGGCACGGTATGAAAGTGCCGCAGGCAGGTAACGCATGTGGGGTGAGGAGCGTAGAGGCGTGCCGGGGCAGGCAGGCCGTGACGCCTTGCAACATGCACACCTAAATGTTTACGCAGCGGGAAACTGGCATCGCAAAAAGGGCAGGGGAACTCCTGAACGGTATCTGGTGCCGGGGGCACCACGGAGGCATGAGCATCACGCTCCTGTCTAGCTGCAACCCATCGTGCCAAGTCCTGAGCGCAGGTGCGAATAGCGGCATTGATCTGCCGACGCCACCACGTGTGGTCGGAGACAATAGCATCGGAGAGAGTGGCGACAGGCGTGGGTGTCGCTAGAACGGGACCAATGCCTGGTTGGTACAAACCGACATGACGCAAGTCGTCATTCAGCTGACTAAGCCATGAGCGGGCAGGCGAGGCCTCCCTCTGTAGCCACAACAAATGCAGAAGTGTAGCGGGGCCGTGTTTTATCAGCCGGAGATAGAGGCCCGCCCTGGCTTTGGCAAGGGCAAGTGGAGGCGTCGTGGCATTGGCCAGGTGTAGTGCCTCGTAGGAATGCAACTTAGAGGACATCTCAGTTCGAGGTCGAAGGGCCCTCCAAATGGATGTGTACAATCTGGCCCACAGTCGCCAATGCCCGGCGGCATGTAACTCCAGAGTTGCAGACCCAAAGTTGTACTTGGAGCCAACAAGTGCTCCGAGCAGATAGCGGCGCAACGCGAGCGGAATGCTGGCATTGCCGAAGAGGGGGCCCCTGAGTGGCCGCAGGGTCCAAGTACTCTGTGAGTAGCGGTAATGGATCTCTGGGGCGGCGGAGGCCCCACTTGTAACAATTCCACCAAGGTGCTTGTAAGCCTGTACAACGGGAAGGTGTTGACTGCAAACCGCAACCGGGTCCCATATTGGGATATGTTTGGGAATGCCTGGTATGTCCGAGGGAACCAGGACGTCTGACACCGAATGGTAGACGGATGGTGGAAGAATGGCAGCGGTTTTATCATAGGCGAAGGTTAACTGCATGCCAATG